TTTTGGTTTTTTGAGACAGAGTCTCAATATGTAGTTCAGACTGAACTGGAACTCACTATGTAGCCAAGGCTGGTCTCAAACTCACAGCAATCCTCCTGCCTCAGCCTCCTAAGTGTTGGCATTACAGGCGTGCTAGAGTCTTGCTAAGTTGGCCAGGCTGGATTTGCACTTGTGATCCTCCTGCCTCTGTTTCACAAAGTGCTGGGATTACAGGCATATGTCACCGTAATATAAATTATGGGACTCAGGTTATTATATCAATATTAGTTCATTAATTATAACAAATATACCACATAATTCAATATATTAATAACAGGGGAAACTGCATGGCATTGAGAAAGACTTACATGAAACTCTGACCATGTACTCAAATAAAATAGAATTTAAAGAGCATATTTACCTTGAGAGGCCAGAGATTTGGTGATGATGTTACCATTCATGAAATTTTTTGGAAACTCCTTTTTCAGACCACTTTTAAAGAATGTAGTGCATTTTTAATGCATTTTTTTTGAGTTTTTTGAAACAATCAAAAGTCAATAAGATGTAATTACTGATGATTTTTTTTATAAATCTAGGAAATACAGGAAATATAATTTTGGCTTTAAAAATATAAATAAATAAATAAAACCAAAATGCTTACAGTAGTGAACACTATGAAGGATAGATTCTAGATAGGTTATGATAAATAGCACATTATTTGCATGTTGTATGGTTTTTCAAAGTAACTGTTGTCAAATATTATCATTTTTAGATGCCAAATAGCAATTGTAATAAAGTCTATCATAAATATTAACCTACTCCTTTATCCGCACAAATAAGAAGGGATCTAGAAAGAAAGGATGGGAAAAGGGTGAGGGGTTGGGAACCAGTGTATCAGCAGGGGAGATAAAGACTCGGGAGAAAAGATGTGGGACAATGGCAGCAGTAAGGAAAGGGAAGTAGCATGTTTATTCATAAGGCATTTAATACCTGGTTAAATAACACTATCTCTAGATTAAACTTAAATTTATAATATGGCTTCTTATAGAAAAACATTGTAATATTCTAATAAAATGAATTAAGTGTGTGCCTCCCTTTGTCTAGTGTGCTTTGGGGCAAGCTCACACAATCTGCTCACAGAGCCACACCTCCCCGACTTTCAATTGCTCTAACAAGCCTTGTAAGTCTTTACACAGAAAAACCCCACATAAATGATTTAGAAATGGATCGACAGAACCAAGGGCGTGAGGCTGGGTGAGCCGGCTCCCCAAGGCCACAGGCGGCACAAGCTGGGGCAGAGTTAGGGTGAAGCTTGAACTGTGAAGCTTGGTCCGTCTTAGCCCAAAACAGCAGCCGGAAAGTCCCTGAGAAGAACAGTACACGTCTCGAAGAAAGAGAAAGGCTTTTGGCCTGGAAACATATGAGAAAGTGGCGCCCAGGGAATGTTCCTTAACCCAGTTGAATCCCATTAGTTATTCGGTGTTATGTCAGGATTCTTGGAAAGTATGGACCCCATGCTCTCTTTTTGATGCTTTCTCTCCTTACCTGTTTATTTCTTCTGTCTTATTACTCTAACTAGATAATACATTTCTTAGGAGATATTGTGTCTTTTTCTATGCTTGCAAACATCACACCATCTTGACCATTGCATAAACCAAAAATTGTTTAATTATTAAAATTATTTTTTAAATTGCATCTAGATTTTACCTATATATATTCAAAACCATATATAGTACACTTTGTAAATATGTTGGGTTGTCCTTTCGTTCTTGAAAGTATGTATCATCGCAACTTCTTGAAAGTATTTATCATCTTAAATTTTAAAGCTATGTCTCAGAATAAACATTATTTCCTCTCTCTTGCCATTTTCCCACAGAGGTTACAAATCTTCTCACATTGACACCATCTATAATCACAGTACACCTCAGATACATGCTCAAGGATATATGAAGATGGATGATACAATATATAATCACATGGAATTTTTTTCACTTCTATGTATGCTGCATGAACAATTAGGCGTACTTTTATGTTAGCAGTGATTCACATTTTGACTTAGGTTTGAATAATCCAGAAAAACAACCACAGAATTTAACAAACACATGAAAGTCTTTTTATAAAACCATTGCCCTTCCACAGCACAATATATACATACACACTTGAAAGTGAATTTCTGCTTGTACTCTCTCCACTTCTGACTGTTTTAAAGTGTTCTCATCCCCTTGATTCAATGGGTCTGGCACCATGTGACTTCTGGCTCTTCCCCAAAGTCAAAATCTCCATGGCAGGTAAAAGTTTTGAATGAATTCAGGACATTGAGCAGCCGTGACAGTGTAACTAAAGGTGCTCACACAAAAACACCTCCCGACCTGTTTTAAAAGTGACAAGATGATGGGATGGGATAAGTGTGTTTGAAGTGAGGTGGTGTTTTCTGAGGGGCATTGATGACAATGTCTTTTACTGTAATTTAAAAATGTAAGCACACTATATTTTTTTTATCATACCTCATACAACCATCCTATGAAAACCACCAAGAAATCACACAAGAACTACCTTAGCCTAACTTGAAGGCAGGCCCTCCCACGACTGAAGGAACTATCACTAAACCTTACCTCTCAGAAAGGTTCTGTTAGGCCAGGGATTTAGCTGTGGTTCCACTGCCTGCCTTGCAAGCACAAGAAACACAATGTCCGGACGAGTTTGATCCTCAGAGCCACCTAAAACAAAAAAAAAAAAAAAAAAAAAAAAAAAGGAAACAAAAAACAACAATAAAAATGTTCTATCAGCCTCCAGACTGCCACCCTGGAAGAAAGCTCCCAGCACAGTGACAATGGGGGACAGATCAAACCCAAACCATGACAGCATCTCCATGTGCATTAGCCAGTCTCCTGTCTCTGGGACATAATACTAACACCTACAACTCAAAGAAAGAGATGTTTGACCTGGCTCATGGCCCCAGGGTGCTATGGCTGTGTCTACATGTCCCCTCAAAGCCTCATGCGGTCATAGGTGGGGAATTTCAGGGATGGCTGGATCTAGGGTATGTGATGCTGGGGATAAGGATGTGTGATAACTAAATTAGTCCACTAATTGGTTTGGCATCATTGTAGGCATGGGTAATGGGAAGGCCCACCCTGGGTGTCAGTGCTACCACTCTAAGAGCCTGTAGCCTGGATAGAATATAAGGGATAAAAAGAAGGCTGCTGTCATCACTTTCTGCTTGTGTCTTTGATTGCTGCTTTCCTGCCTTCTGCTCACCATAGACTCCTTCTCCTCTGTGATGCCCTTCTACTGTGCCACCCTGCCTTGGAGCCAGAAATTACAAACTAAACCCTCTGCAAACTGTGAACTACAGTAAATCTTTCCTCCTTTAACTTTTGGGTGTCAGGTATTTGTCTCAGCAAGAAGTAAAGTTAACAAAAACACAGGTGATTCAGTGCATGTTTTGCGTGGTTCCAAGGCAGACTACCATGGTAGTAAAGTGTGGTAGAGTAAATCTACTTAGGTCATGTTGACTGGGAAACAGAGCAGGGAAAGCTCCTGAGGGGAAGGGTCCAGGGTCTATATCTATAGTAGTAACTGGAGTAAGGCCTCTGTAACTTCCAGACACTGCCAGACGTATGCTGCATTATCCCCTGGAGAGTTTCTAATCTGATCCCACGGACAATCCATCTTAGCCATCACATTATGCAAAACTACTTGAGGTTAGGGAAGGGATC